ATTGAACCAGTATCTGTATTAGCTAGTTCACTATCAGGACATGAAAACACTATTCACATTTATGAGTTTTGTACCCTTAAGCACTGAGGAATTCAATCATGATTTAAAAGACCTTTCTGGTAAAGTTTTTTTTTTGGGGGGGGGCGGTTTGATATATTTGATCATAGCATCTGCAGAAGTGATGATCTGAATTTCACTTTTCCAATTTGGATGTCTAAAAGTCATGGCAAATTAGAATTTTTTTTCTTGCTCTAAGTGTCATAAAGCTTTCAAACTTTCAATATTTACTATAATATTAGCCTTTTGAGTCTGTAAAGGATCTGTGCATTAAGATATAGACCTTTGTTTCCTAATTCATTCATTTTTGCATGAAGTGATTGCATTTTATCAAGTGTCTTTTGTGAATCTGTTGATCATGTATTCTTTATCTTCATATTATTGATACAGAATGCTTCCATTATTAATACAAAAATTTGAACCATCCTTGAATTCTTTGATATGAATTCACTTCTCTGTCATAAATAATCTTTTATAACTGATTTAACAAGTTTGATATCATCTTGTTTAATGTAACTGCAGCATTGTTCGTGAAGATCATTGCTTGCCATTTGCTCTTGGTGCCATTAAGTGGCCTTGCCAGGCACATTTGTAAAAATTCCATTGTCATTATTTATTTACTTTTTAAAATAACTTTATTGGAGATTTCTCAGATATTTGTAACAGTTTACACTATCGATGGTATTTTAACAATATTTGGTCACTTGCTCTGCTTTGCTCTTATTTATAGATTGATGGGTTTGAAGCTGTGTGTGTGTGAAGTTTTACTGCTTAGGGCAGAGCAGAGTGTGATAATTTCAGTGTTTCCTGGGGTTTGCAAAGCCATTGCTAGTAACACCTTTGTTCTGTAAAGATTTTTCCTTAGAAAACATTAGTATCTTGGCAACTGTTTTCCTTAAATGTTATTTTGTGTTCATTTTCCTAAGTTGATCATGATGCAAAAGTTTCAGTTTTCAAATTTAGCATCTTTATATACATTTTCCAATATTTTAAATTTTATTATGTCCCATTTTAAGATTTTGTGTTAATATAGTTAAACTATTTCGCTTCATTGTGATTTCAAATACATCAGGAGTTTTGTTACTTTGGAAGCTTGCTTGCTTTTCTTAGTAGTGTTCTAGTTCTGCTGTTATGTGTGTGGGGCTAACACAACTCACGTAGATATTTGATCATCCCCTGTCCCGGGAAGTTCCAAGGAGTCCATTCCCATGAAAGTTTTGTCACATCAAGAGTTCCCACTATGGAAATCCAATGTCTGCACCGAATTATACTTGCTGTTATCCCCACAATTTTCCTTTCATCTCCTTAGTTCTTTGCAGGGAAGATCAAAGAAAACGAAAAGAGTCCTTCCCTTTCCACACCTGGACTCACCTCAGGAGAGGCTTTCTTTGAAGTTGGTCACTTGGAATCTTTGCTTTATTCTATGAGCTGCTCTTTTTGTAATGCATACATTTTATGGTTTTTGCTGTCACATTGGGTGATGTGACGAGTTTTTTAACTTCAGTTCAGGAATGAAGCAAATCGTATGGTACTTCTTCACATCATCTCACTGCCTTAGAACTAGCAATATTAAAAAATGATGACAGCTTAGGTTGAGAATTGTTTTTTCTCATTATAATCTTCCAACACATATAATGCATAAAGGACATATGTTTTATTTTGTAATATAATTCTTTATTTCCCAACACATGATCATTCTGAAACAGCACCATGTGTCTACATACACTTTTGTATATGTGCATATTTCTAAATATTGGCACACATGTGACTTTAAAAATATTTAAAACAATTATATTAAATAACAATGATAGTGTATCTGTAGGTAAGAAAATACAAAGCATTACCAAAATTGAGTTGTCTTGCAATTACTAAATAGAATGAAGTCTCGGGTGTTTAGTCAGAGATCATTGTCAGATTGGTGATACAGCTCACGTCTGTGACAGGAACCTTAGTGATTCTGAACTTCAGATCAGTCTCACACAGCTCATTGTCAACCTGTAGGAGGAGCTGCTGGAGACCAATAATAGTGTCCTCTTTCTGTAACTAAATGGTTTTGATTAGCAATGACTTTGCATCGAAATGAAGAACATCCCTAATGATTCAGAGCAGACTACATTATGTGAGTCTCCCCTTGCCAGACATTAATCCTATGTCATCATTGACAATGCTTACTGTGACATTAGTGGGTGGTAGTGGCAATGATAGCCTACAATTCTGAAGTTAGCTACAATTCATCATCCCTTCTGCTTAGTACTTTGTGTGCACAGAATCATAATCATCAATGAAGAGCTTTGTAAGTAGTCAATAGGACAGCCTAGGGGAAATGAAATGACCATATATGAATTTGTAATAAAATGGTGGGCAGAGAGGGAAGGACAGACTATCACTTTCATGTCTACTATAGCCTATAAGCCAGATATAATTATACCTTCAATTATAATAATATTATTTTATTTCTATATAATAATATCATATTTTAATAGTATATTATTGTTATTTTAATAACAATAACAGTACTTATTATTTTAATGTGATACACTGTCTTAATTGGATAAATAAGCAAACTGTCAGAACCTGATCAAGTCCACAGAATCCTGTTCCTCTAGGAATTATCCTCAGAATCCTCAGAACAGAATGTTTTTTTTTTTAAATTAAATACTTTTTTTTTATTGAGAAAAGGAAAAAAAAAGTTTCCCCCTCCTCCCAGCCTCCCATTTCCCTCCTCCTCTTCCCATCCTTCTCCCCCTCCCCCACTCCTCTCCCTCTCCCTCTCCAGTCCAAAGAGCAGTCAGGGTTCCCTGCCCTGTGGAAAGTCCAAGGTCCTCCCCCTCCGTCCATGTCTAGGAAGGTGAACATCCAAACTGGCTAGGCTCCCACAAAGCCAGAACATGAAGTACAGAATGTTAAGCCAGTCTCCACAAGCAGGTTTAGGCTCAGGAGAAATGTGAGGGAAGTGGGGATAGGAGTGTCACAGCTCTCAGGGAAATCCACCAAGAGGGTACAGAGAGCATGCTGGGTGGGGCACAGGGGTTGTACTCTGTACCCAGGGCATTTTCACACCTGGATATTCTATCTTGGGCCTGTGCTCTTTCAAGAGTGACAGTGTTCTTTTTGGACCTCGTCTGTATACAGTGTGGTTATCTCTGTGGTGTGTACCTTGGTTGCTCTGCCCACTAGCAATGTAAAGCAGCCACAAGTTTACCTCCTGTGAGCTACAGCTTCTTAGGAATCAATTGATAAAACAACAGGGCTTTGTGACAAGGGTCTGAGAAAATAGTGAATACAGCATATCTGTTCTCAAGGCCACCACTTTATCAGATTAAATTCCCCAAGATAAATTCAAATGAAGTCATATTGGGCAAAGCACAAATGAGATCACAGACAGATATCCAACATTCTAAGTCCATATTGGGGGAAATGCTGACTAGGAAGACACTAAAACCTGCCCATTCTTTTACAGAAGGTTTGGTTCCTAGATAGCCAAGCACTATGACGTCTTACATAAAATCACCTAGTGTTTTCATTTGGCCTAAGCACGTGTTATCTGGAAGAGATGATGAGAACTTACCAGGAAACATTCCTAAGATAGCAAAGCAGACTCCCCTTAGGACTCAGCAGTCCTGGGTGACAAACTGAACTGAGGTTCATTATCAAAACTCCACTCTCCAACCAATGTTTATAGAAGCTTTGCACATAAAAGGCTCAGGTGAGCCTGGGCTTCCAATAATTGAACAAGATAGATACCTGCATTAATCTTGTGTCTGGTTTCTAAAACTGAGGTTGGATTTTATTGGCACTCTGGAAGGAGTCTGATCCAAGAACCATGTACTGGACCAGCTTCTTTCTCACTAGCCTGATAATGTGCTTGAAATACCCTTCTCTCTCTTCCTGCCTTCTTCCCTGGAGCCACAATAAGTCATGTACTCTCAGGACCATACTTTCAAATAACAATCAATCAGCTGAAGAATAACACTCTCTAGTGCCACTCCAGACCACTTCAGACCTTCCTTAGTGACCTTAGGGGTGGATACCCACAATGTGGGGGAAGCTTCTATGTCCCAAGGTTACTGCAGTTGTTCTCACTGCCCATCTTGAGCCTCTTTAGCTCTCTCAGCATTGCACTGTCTCTCAAATTATGATGGAACCTACCGTCCAGTTCTCTCTGGTGGCCATAATGGGATCTACTGTCCATTTCTTTCTGGTCAGCACTAGCCTTCCCCTTGGGGGCCCTGGGTAAAACCTACCATCAGTCTTCTCAGTAATACATTCAAATCTATTGTGCTCTAGTAAACAGAGTTTGGTATTATATATTTTATTTTTAAAAGGAGATGATACTATATAGAAGTCTTCTATTTGCAAGAGGTACAAAAGTGAATCTGAGAAATAAATTTGAGACTAATATCCCAGCATTGCTTCAAGAGCCAATTTTCCTGTCTCTGGGATCACTGATAAGATCCACAGTGCAAGTGTCAAAAGGACATTATCTTGCAAAGATCTGGGAGGCAGTTGGATCCTGCAACTGTAGGTCTTATCCTATGGATAATCTGCAAAACAGATGACCAAGCAAATAGTATGGCCCTGTCCCTGAGTGATTCCCATGCCATGGTTGTCTGGGCCAGCTTAAGGATCTGCATAGGTTAACTGGCTTTCAGTTCAGTTTCCACCCCATCCAGGCACCACTAAAGGGAGCCTGAGCCAGTTCCCTGCCTGGTCTGCCTCTTCAGTAGGAGCTAGAAGATTGCCAAATTAAACACAATGTTCACCCCTTTCTTATAGGAAATTGTGGCAAAGTATTAAGCTGATCAAAATGACTAAAGCTTCTGTTGTGGAGACTTCATTTTTTTTTTCTTTTTATGGTGTATTTTTCCATTGTGATTGGAGAAAAGGAAGAAATAAATTCTCAACCCCAAAGCTATTACACAAAGAGACACAAACACACTCACCGTAGCCTGATGTTTCTCTGCTTTCTCAGATGTCTCTTTAAGCTGATTCTGCAGGGCCTCCTGGAGAGACTTCATTTCTTCCCTAGGTTAGTAGAAAAAAGAACAAAGAAGAGATACCACATGATTCCACTATTTTCCATGAACTTTACAAAAAGGAGTTTGCCTATCTATCTACATTTAAGGAACAGCTAACTATAATTATGAAAATCCACAGCAATACAAAAGGCTATATCTAAATACTGCGATACAAAGGGCTTTCTTTCCTTGCACACACGTAAAGCAGGTGATATTTAAGGTAAATTACCTTGTTATTATGTTTTATAAGAATCCCACAGTGTGAATCACTATGAACAATGAATGTATTCAATCAGCTCAATATACCAACTCGAGTTGGAAAGCTAATTTCACTGATGACATGTAGGGCATGAACATGTTGGGTTAAAAGTCATGAAAGACTTCTGAAAGAATTTATTGTAACCTTCTGATCCTCATTAATTTCTTAATTTTGCACTATTGTGGCTTAGCTATAATTTATAAGACCTGAGAATTTTTCATGAAAACACAAAGAAAATTGATTTAATTCTAACTATTACTTAATGGGCACAGGAAAGAAAATATGTGACCATAAATGCATGAAAATTGTGTCCCAAGACCATTAATATGCACACACTATGTTTTCTTTTGATGGGGGAGTGGAGAAAGATAAATATCACATTGTCTCTTACAGACACAATGAAAGTCAAGAGAAGTTCTCAGTGTAAGGGTTAGGGGAGTGAGCAAATAACAACCATATGGAGACTGTGTGTGTGTGTGTGCGTGTGTGCATGTGCGTGTGAGTGTGCATGTGTGTGTGAGTGCGTGTGTGTGTGAGTGTCATGTGCGTGTGTGTGAATGTCATGATGAAAGCCATTAATTTATGTGCTTACTTATTCCTCTTAAAGATTTACAATTTGTGCATAGCGGATTGATGATATTGATTTGATATTTAATTTTTGTCACCCTAACTATCACCTCAAAAATATTATATTTTAAAGTTTAGTGTGTGTGTGTATATGAGCACATGCATGTGTAATAGAGAACACATATATGATATGTGATTATGCCTAGAAAAGTTGCCTAAGAGCACCAACAAACAAGCAGAGTATTGTTCTATTCCATGAGAATCAAAACTGGTTTAAATTTGGCCATCAATTGCTAGGAAACTATCTCTGGCAAATTGGGCAAGTAGTACAATTACCTCCTTGTAAATTTCCTCATTTAAAACTGGGCACAATAATAAAAATACTTTGTAGGCTTGTGGCAAGGTTTAAATGACACAATAAACAAAGTGTTTAACAGAGAGCTTAGAAAAGGAAATTACTTATTCTACAATCATTAAAAAACAACCCCATAGAGACCATAAGTATACTCTTTGATCAGAATGACAAGCTCTTTCCTCTAGAAGGAGCACTCTGTGCTTCTAGATCTTAACTTTTGGTACTGCAATCACCCAAATTTAATTTTTAGGGGAGACAGAAAAAGGGAGGTAGAAGAGGGAGAATAAATTTTGGAATCATTGTGGTCCAGGACAAATCCATAATCCATGGTTTAAAGCTAAATTTCAGTTTTCATGAAGGATTTTCATATATGGAGATTTATATCTGGAGTACCAGATTTTTAACAAAAGAGCTTTTGTGACATAATAATTAAATATTGCAAATATGAAATGCAATATAATATAAAATATGATCATATGCAATAGATTACACCAAAATATGATATCTGTGAGTGACAGAAAACTCTCCTCTTGAAACCATGGCTTCCCAACTGCCTACATCTCCTTTTCTTCCTAAACAGAGCAGGCATAACAATTCCCCTGAAATGAACTGCTCCATTCTCTGCAGAGCTACCCACTGTGAGGTCTCAATGCTGGACACTGAAGGCCATTCCCTCTGGGACATCCCTTTAAAGATTTCCCCTCTTCTAATCCTTGATAACTGACTTGAATCTTGCAGATACTATTTTTGTGTTTTTTCCTATTATGTGTTTTTTTTCACTTGTTTTGATTGAGATGAAAGCCTTTTTTAAAGAAGTAATTTTCACAAATCTTAGTTTATTTTGGCTGATAATCATCCTTTTGTTCATATATTTTCTTAGAAAAATATGCTTTGTTAAATTGTTACTGTGTTGCTCAATAGATATTCCAAACTTTTCCCTTTTAAATGAAATCTTTTTTTATCAAGTTCTATTAACTCCAACACTTCAGGTTCCCCAGTAGAAAGGGGAGACTATGAAACTCCCATTGTAATTGGTCAAAGTCTTTAGATTCCTTCAAACTTGCCTTTTTATAATCATTAAGATAATTAGCTTTATTTTGCAAATGAGGAACCCAAAACACACAGAAGTTAAACAAAAGCAAAAAACAAAACAAACAAAAGAAAAAATGGGTTTAAATATTAACCAGACTGTAGATGGCTAAGGGGCTGTCATGCCTTTAGCCCACTGCTGTTGCTAAAATAAATCACAAAAAGACAATAAACAAATAACTATGAAATTATTTTCAGATTAATATCTAATAGCTAAAAACAATTACTGATCACTGTACACAAGGAAGAGTAATGCATGACCGTGTGACCTCACATGAAAGCATGTCAAGGACAGGTTTCGGAGACAGTCTGTAAAGTCATCAGTGGAGACACAGGCTGACGACAGGACTCGTGATTAACAGCATGTCATTCTGTTACCTGACATGTGATGTAGTAATATGAGCGGTGGGGCTGCGTCCCCAGCACCCTGGCTGCCTGGCTAGCTTATGCCCCGAAACAACAACACACAAATTGTATTCATTTAAACACTGCTTGGCCCATTTCTATCTAGCCTCTTCTAGGCTAACTCTCGCACCTGGACTAGCCCATGTCTAATAATCTTTGTAGCCCACAAGGTGGCTTACCAGGGAGATTCTAGCCTACGTCCATCCTGGGTCGGAGCTTCATCGCGTGTATCTCAGAGAGCAGAGCTATGCATCTGCCCAGGAGAGGGGAGCATGACGTCTCTGCTCCAGAGAGCAGAGCTGTCGAGTCTGAGCTCACTTCCTCTTCCTCCCAGCATTCTGTTCTGTTTACTCCACCCACCTATGTTCTAAGATATGAACCAAGCAGTTTGTTTATTACTTGACCAATGAAATCAACAGATTGATATATGACACTCCCACATCAATGTGGTAATATTTTTTAACAGCATTTTGCCTGTGGATCAAAGAGTCCACATGGAATGACATGGACTTTAAATTTGACCATTTTAAAAAACCTTCAAACACCTGATTGCTTTGAGTTTAACTAATCTTTACCAAGCCTGAAATGCAGACTCTCACATCCCATCCAGAGCTCCTGAATGAGAGGAACTCTTCACACAAAGCACTGGATAAATTTAATATACAGGCAAGTGTCCACAAGAAGATAAGTTCACACATTATAGCACATGGATTTTGATAAACTCCCTGGCTGTACTTTTACGGTATTGCAAAAATTGGGGTGGGGAGGAAATCTTAAACTAAAAGAAAGATTAGAAGGGAATATAGAACTCCAGTCTTACCTTTGCTTCTGGCCTAACTCCAGAAGCTTCTGAACATCGGTTTTGGAAGATTGCTCATCATTTTTCAAATACTGAAAAAGAAATGAGGGAAAGGAGTCTTAGATAAATCCCTGTCATTCACTTTATTGTCTATATTTAGTGCCAAGTTTTAAGGCACTTAGTTTATTGGACAAAGATATAAAAATTAGGCCCCTCAGCTACTGATGGTGCCAAGGACACACACAGGGCTCACAAGACACAGTAGGACCTACTAAACTCTTAATGTAAAAACATCTTTGAGCAGAGGATCACCGAAACAGCCTACAAGTACGTATTTTCTTTCAAAAAAATCTTAAAAATTTTTATTTTGGTGTGTTTGTGGGGGGTGTGTGTGTGTACATGTGATATATATGTTGCCAAACATGTCATCAGGCAGATATGCAGGTCAGAGGACAGCTTTGCAGAGTTAATCCTTCTATTTCAGATTTACGTGTATCCCAAGCATAAAACTCCAGCCACTGGGCTTGCCTGGACAGCACCTTCATTCACTGAGTCATCTCATGTGCTTCTCAGTCTCTTCAAAAATAAATTAAAAAATACCTTCTTCCGTTCATTTAAAGTGTGTCCACAGAAGGTATTTTGAATTAGCTCTTGTGTAGTTCCAGCAAATGGAAGGGCTCAAAGAAAGCTTGCCTGCACAGTTCAGGAAATAACCTGATGGGAGTTGAAAGCTTCTTTGTTCATGTCTGTGTCATTTCTAAGTAATGTGTTAGGATACAAAAAGACAGAGGGCCAGGTAACTTTATCCCTTGTCACTATACACAGGTATCAAGAAAATAATATATGCCTCCGTAGTTATTACTTATATACTTGCAAATTCAGGATTCAGAAGCCATCAGTTAGAAGAGAGAAGCCCCCTGCCCCCAAGTTCTTCTACATAGATCTGTCATATAAAATGTTTCTTAATAACGTCCTTATTAATATTCAGTAAACTGTTTAATAGAGTAACATTTATACTTGATATTAAAAGTTTAGATAGCAATACGGTTTCTACAGAGTAGCTGTGAAGGTAGAGGAATGACGGCAGTCTAGCAGTGAGTGCATTGTTCCTTAATGTTTATTTAACCGACACCTAGCCTGAGTTATGACTTATAAAGCATGGTGCTGCCTGAACAGTTTCAGCCTGGCATTCAACAGAGAATAATACACTGTTAGCTTTACCAGAAGTTCCTAGAGGCTGACGAGGGTTAACTGAGACTCCCTGTAGGAAGAATTCAGTAGGTAGTGCTCTGTATATTTAGGAAAAATAGCTTCCCCTAACAGACAAGAGGACAGTTAAGTAATGAAAACAGGTTTGGTTCCTAACACCTACATGGAGGCTCACAACTATCTGTAACTCCAGTTTCAAGGGATCTAGCACCTTCCTAGCCTGCATATGTACTGCATGTCTGTAACTCTGGGTTCAAGGGATCTAGCACCCTCCTGGCCTACACACTTACTGCATGTCTGTAACTCCTGGTTCAAGGGATCTAACACCCTCCTGGATTCTATACTGCATGTGTACTGCATGTCTCTAACTCCGGGTTCAAGGGATCTAGCACCCTCCTGGCCTCCACACTTACTGCATGTCTGTAACTCCTGGTTCAAGGGATCTAACACCCTCCTGGATTCCATACTGCATGTCTGTAACTCCAAGTTCAGAGATCTAAAACCCTCTTGGAATCCACACTGCATGTTTGTAACTCCTGGTTCAAGGGATCTAGTACCCTGCTGGCCTCCACACTTACTGCATGCCTGTAACTCCCGGTTCAATGGATCTAACACCCTCCTGGATTCCATACTGATTGTCTGTAACTCCAGGTTCAAGGGATCTAACACCCTCCTGGATTCCATACTGATTGTCTGTAACTCCAGGTTCAAGGGATCTAGCATCCTCCTGGCCTACATGTGAACTGCATGCAGATGGTACACAGGCATGTACAGACAAAACATTTGTTCACATGAAATGAAAACAGATGCACAAATAAACACTTTTAAGAAATAAGGAAGAAACTAAAAAAAATTAGAAAAAGAAGTATTGATAAATAGAATAGTGAACTAAATAGATAAGAAATCCTATTGAATGTATTAAGGAACTCTGTCCTCTGGTCAGGATGTGCCACTTATTTTGAAATCAGAGTGACTGATTACTTCCAACTGGTTTTCCCCATACTGAGCCCAATAATATCACCTTATTGAAGATAGGATAGGTTTTTCAGTGCAGCTCAGCAGCAAATAGAGTGATTGCCTAGCATGTGGAGACCTCCAGGACACAGGCTGGTACTATATAAAGAAGTGGGCATAGCAGGAGGCATGTATAGTCTTGATACAAAAGAAGTGGAGGAAAGACCAGATGTGCATGTTCATCATTGACTACAAAGTAAGCTCAAGACAAGCTTGAGTACTAGGGCCTGTCTTGAAGCAAACAGGTGAAACATGGAGTCCCAGCAGAGGTTGCTGGAAGTTGACGAGATGGGGTAGCTGCTTGTGGCCCAAGCCTCAGCTCCCCCATAACCCCTAACAAACTCCAAGTAAACTCACCAGTTCACCAGGCTGAACTTAGGTGGGATAGTTCCTGTGAGGTGTCGCTAGTTCCCTATCTGGGATGAATGGTCATTTTGCTCATGTTTTGTCAGGAAAAGCTCCATAACACATAGTTATATATGTATTTACTTTATGTTTGAAATCTGATCCCACATTTTTTTAATATGAATGACTTACCGACATCCAGTGAGCTACTTAAGTCTCTGCTCTTCACTTTATAATGAAAATAATACCATGCTAATTATATGGAAAATTTACTAAGAGGATTTATTAAAATTAAAACAATAAGAAAAAATATTTTGTCTATTATGTGCCACAAAACAAAATGCCATTCTCAAACTTGCAACAATATTTCAGGGACAATTTTCCCCTTTAAAAATCATGGCTCTATGATCATTTTTCTTAAACATTCTGGTGTATAAGGAGACACCTTGACTAAGGAAACAAAAGTGTCGTGGGAACACAGTAATCACTGATCTCTCCGGGGCATTTCACCATCTGCTGACGATATGCTCCTGTACCAGGTGTTCCTTCCCCGTGAGGACAGGCAGATGTCATAAATATTCCTCCCAGGCTTGTTTACCTGCTAACATTCTTCTCAGTAATCTCTGTCTAGGCTTTCCCCAATAAAACCAGATCAGTGTGTAGCCTCATGAATCCTCCTCTTTGCTCTCTAGAATCTGATGCCCAGATGCACAGCACTGTTCTTTATGCACTTCCTAATCCTTCTATGTGCCTCCCACTCCTGGAGGGTGGGGGTTTGCTTTACTCTCTCTGTGCATAGCACAACTTGCACCAGAGTGCAAACAGTAAATTCACATGCCGGTCCTACTCATTGCTTACCTGTGTGCTCTTTCTAAACTTTGTATTTGCAGCTATAAGGGAAGATTAGTAACCACAATAAAGCTGTCATGTGGAAATTAATTAACCCAGCATGTGAGTTGGACCAAAGTCAATGCTCTAGTGGTTGACTGCATCACCACCATTGAAGCTGAACGGAAAAAGTTAGCAGGAACGCACATCAAATAATCCCATACTGACTCCAAAATGGTGTATTTTAACGCCTTTCTTTATTATGGGGGAAAACTCACAGAACAGAACGGGGTCCAACCTCAAGGTATGGAGTGCAGGAAGCAGAGAGAGAGCTGAGTGCGATAGGAGCTTTTCAGGAACCCAAAGGTCACACCCCAACCTGGTCCAGCTCCCAAAGGCCATTGACTAAAGGAGGTTCCCCATCACAGCATCATCTTCCCCATAGTGTCGTCATGGCAACAGTGTAACATATAGACCTTGAGGCCCAAGACAACATACAGACAGTCTCAGTTCTGTGGCGTGTGAAAAGTCTCTGGAGCAAATTATCTTACATTTAAACTCTGGAGTCTTTACTCACTTTCAGAACTGCTGTCTTTAGAATATATTACTTATGTACCATAAAAAATATCACAAAGAACCATTTCCTCTACTTATTCAAAAGAATTAAGTCATGCAATGGCACTAAAGAATTTAGTACACAGTAGGTACTCAGGGAAGGCAACGTGCCAAGTAGGACATCAAACAGTGTCATTCTTTGTCTCACAATGTGTGCCCCATGAAGGTTTTTACCTTATAGTCCTTGGTGTACATGTTATGGCTTCTGGTTTTATGTTTCCTATGGGTTTCCTGTGGGTGTGAACATGGGTGTTTCTGTGTCTTTATGTGTTTGCTGTGCTTTTTCTTTGGCTCTTTACCTTCTGTTTGTTGTTTTTGTCCTATTCTGATTGTTTTATACTATTATATTATATTATTATGCTTTGGATGCTATTTGTTTTCTCACAAGAGGCAAAAAAGGGGTAGATATTAGTGGGAAGGAAGGTGGGGAGAACCTGGAGAAATCAGGGGAGAAGAAATCATAATTAGAACTTAACGTATGAAAAGAATTTCTATTTTAACTAAAATAAAAAAGTACTTTCATAGGAAAAAAAAGTACTACTAAATGTTTTAGAAAGCTTTTTGTTATCTGAAATGTATCTTGCTTTTATTTTCTCATGTTTTAAACATGATAGTCTCCTTAGTAAAACATTTATACATTTCTATAAAAAAGTTGCATAAAGGATCTTTAGAGCTAGCCTAGAGGGAAAATCTAGTTTCTCTTCTAAATATCCTTCCTACATTTTCGACTCTCAGTCTAATTCCTTTCCTTCATTTTGTTTGTCAAGAACACAGGGACCAAACTGATTTTGAAAGCTTGGAGAAACTGATGGCTTTGCCAAGTACACAGTTTACTCCTTTTGTTGTTTGGAAACTGCAGGTATCTAGAGCATATCAAAAGACATTTTATTTCAAAGCTAAAACAATAATAAATATTAACTGGAGTGGTAAAGCCCAGAGATGTAGACAAAATTGTTTAAAAATGTTTATCTGTCCAGTGGGTGACAAAATCAGTTTCCAGCTCACCTGAAGGTTGACTTTGATCCCATCCAGCTCTTGGGATGTCTTTGTCAGCTGCCGCAGGACTGTGCTGCGCTCCTTAAACACTTTCTTCAGCTGCTTCTCTAGCTCCTCGTAGTCCTGTCTAACACAGAAGAAAGGCGTGAGAGCCCCACACACTCTGCCTGGCGAAGTACTTTCCTTACAGAGAGAACTAGGCAGACCGAGGGTCCCCAACATGGGACAATTTCTACGTGCAAATGTAGTCTACCCGGTATAGTTGAGAAAGTAGATGATTTCTGTAATAGCACTATATTTTTCTAGGCATTTAGGTATCTGTTGCAAGAGACAGGCTTTGGAGAAATATCCCAAAAGCTTAGGTAGGCTTTTCTACTGGAGAATACACTTGGGGGTAGAGCCAAATAGAAAGCAGAGGCATTGTTTTCATCCTGGGTCCACAGAGAAGAAAACCCGGTGAGAAATGAATCCCCTTTTACATATGTCCCAGAACCACTATTGGTTTTAAAAGCAGGCGGGAGAAAGGAGAACCACTCTGAAAGGCCGTCAATGCATACAGCAATTACAGCGAACTTGGACAGAAAGATGAAGTTGACTTTCAAAGAAAAGCTCAGCCTGCAGTAAATTCGGATTTGCCTGTGTGTATTTGTGACCTTGAGATGTGGGACTGGGACAAGAAAGAAAACATTTTAAAGGTAAATATGAACTAGCTAGACAAAGGGAGAAAGTACTTGTAAATTGCCAGTGTCAATAAAGTTATTCTAAGCGAATAAATGTCAGCTGTGAAGCTCCAATGAAGGAGTGGGAGATCTGGTAGCTGTCAAGAAAATGTGGGAATTGAGCATATAATTTGTGATCCTAGAGAAGCTAAACAAGAAGGTGAACCCAAAGAATAACATATAGTCATCCGCCTGGATATGGGAAGTAGACAAGATTGCAGGGCAAAACCTGGGAACTTGGGGGTGAGGTGGCATGGGGCTAAGGGGAAATGGGGTGAGAAACATGAGAAGGGGAGAATGGGGGGAGCTTGGGGGAATGGGATGTTTGGGATAAAGGAAGGGTGGACACGGGAGCAGAGAAATATATATCCTAATTAAGGGAGCCATCTTAGGGTTGGCAAGAGACTGGACTCTAGAGGGGCTCGCAGGTGTCCTGGGAGATGTCCCCAGCTAGTACCTTGAGCAACTGAGGAGAGGGAACCTGAAATGACCCTATCCTATAGCCATACTGATGAATATCTTGCATATCACCTTAGAACCTTCATCTGGCGATGGATCGCAATAGAGACAGAGACCCAAATTGGAGCACAGGACTGAGCTCTTAAGATCCAAATGAGGAGCAGAAGGAGGGAGAACATGAGCAAGGAAGTCAGAACCACGAGGGGTGCACCCACCCACTGAGACAGTGGGACTAATCTGTTGGGAGCTCACCAAGGCCAGAGGAATTGGGACTGAATAAACATGGGATGAAACAGGACTTTCTGAACATGGCAGAAAATGAAGGCTGATGAGAAGCCAAAGACAATGGCACTAGGTTTCGATCCTAAGACATGAACTGGCTTTCTGGGAGCCTAGCCTGTTTGGATGCTCACCTTCCTGGTCCTGGATAGAAGTGGGAGGACCTTGGACATCCTGCAGAGCAGGGAATCTGGACTGCTCTTTATTCTGGAGAGGAGGGGGAATGGAGTGGGGGGGGGGAGGGGGAGAGGGGTAGGGGAGTGGAGGAGGGGACGATGTGTGCGAGGAGGGGGAGGGAAATGGGAAACGGGGAGGAGGCGGAATTTTTTTTTTCAACAACTAAAAAAAAAAAATGTGGGAAGAGGGGAAGAGACATGCCAGACTTCTGAGTGACCTTTAGGACTTGGGACCCTGTTTGGAGAATAATAGTGAACTGAAAATGTTCTAGTCGGGCAAAGGCAAGGCCAGATTGAAAGTTTGGAATGTTTTCCCTTTCTAAAGGTTTAGCATGAAGGTGTGGAGAATTCGGGCACAGAAGCCGACCTACAATGGTCCAGATGACAGCGTGCCTAACTACATGATAAATAAACAGGAAAACACAGCGATCGATTTTCTTCCATCATGGAAAATAAAATGAATAAGAAACAGGTTCTTGTAAATTATTTGTGTGCTCTTTGGATAGAGACGGTGGTTAGTGATGTTGCCTTGTTAAAGATTTCAGCAATCTCCTCAGTTGCTCAAATCGGGGGAGGGGGAGGGAAATGGGAGGCGGTGGTGGGGAGGAGGCAGAAATCCTTAAATAAATAAATAAATTTAAAAAAAATGGAAAAAAAAAGATTTCAGCAATCGTTAATTAGCCCTTCACCAAGAAAAGTGAAAGGTGGTTGGATTCTATTGTAGGCTTGTAGAAAAGGGGCTAAAATTAAGTGAGATAGCTCTTACAGTTCTGCGTGTATCCTAGGCTCCTATTAGTTACTACTGAACCCCTAAAACTAGTATTGTAACATTACAACAATGTTTTGCGCCGATTTTATAAACCTTTACAGTGCAATATGTGTTACTTTTCTGAGGCAAACCAAAGGTGTATTTCTCAAGGTTCTCCTGTCTTCGGCAGCATTTGATGGAGGATCTTTTATACGTTTGTAATAGACAGAAATAAACCAGATTGCCATTTTCATTTCCTTTTTTTCTTTTAAATTGTAAACCATGTACCAAGTTTCTGGTCAAAACTGTGTAGAATAAGCTAAGCATAATTGCATTTTATTAATCAATATGAGTGTATTTCTTATGCATATAGTTACATTCAAATAAAGTTCTAAAAAGCAAAAAATAAAATAAAATGTGAGATACTGGTCTCAACCACATTTTTGTGTTAAATTGTAACTTTATAGAGAGTTTTGATCTCAATGTAAATAATGAGGTTTTCAAAACGAGTAGCATCTTTATTCCTGAGAAACTTAATGAATTTGATGGATGTTTTGCAGAAATATAGAAAAATAACTTGCACTGTGGAGTTTATCAGTGGTTAATAAATTTATTTCATTTAGAGTAGGCTTCAGTGACTACTTTTGTTTTTGATTTTGTGATTTCGTTGCTAAGATCAGGTGTTTGCCACCCATTAGCTTCTTCTTGCATGGAATGGTATGTAACTGCGAAGTATGCTATTCTACAAGGGCCTTGAAGCAGAAGACCCAGTCCAACAAGGATCAATCAATAACCATCAATCAATAATAATTAATCAATAATCTATTAATTATTAATCAATAATCGATAGACTGTTTCAGGAGTTCATAGGTCACACTGAAAAAGTTAAATGACATATAATAATAATAATAATAATAATGATGATGATGATGATAATAATGGTTCACCTTTTTCTCATCCAAAAGTACAGTGTGATTTCTTGGTTTCTCTTGTACAATAAACATGTCCCCAGAATATCATATACAATATAAATCAAACTGACGAAAAAAAAAAATCCCACATTGGCCATGTTTTGCATGAGAGATCTTATAACTCATTTTGTACTCACAAGAACTCTAGGAGGTAAGTGCTCCTGGTCACTCTATTTTCCAATAGACATATCTAAGTCAATAAGATAATAAATCACTTCCAAGGGCAAGATGCTATTATAGAAGTGGTCTATCAGTCAGCTCCATGATCCCTGTCTCAGCCATGGCTCTAAAAATACACTGACATCAGAACAAGAATACTGACTCGGCTATGAGTGTAGAGCTAAATGTCCAGTGTGTTTTCCATAAAATTTATCATCTATTGCTTCTTCCTTCTTTATGCTCATCATACATGTATTTTTTGACTATTTCTGTGGTATACATTATTCTCATTGGTAAAGGCAGTACAATGAATCTATTAAGTTTATTTTAATATGTACTAGTCAGCTTGAATTCTCTAAAATATATTAGTTTATATTTGATATTTTCCCACACTTTCAGGTAAGGAGATTACTGCTTTACCCTTCAAAAATGTGTGTGAATGGCTCAGGAATGAAATCTGTATTAGTTATTTTGCTATTTCTGTGATAGTGACCATGACCTAAAGCAATTTGGGGAGTAAAGAGTTTCTTTCTTCTTATAGCTTTTAGTCTATCATCAAGGGAAAGCAGCAGAATCTCAATGCAGAGACCAGGAAGCAAAAACTAATGCAGAAGCCACAGAAGAGTGTTGGTTACTGCCTGTCCTTCATGACTGTTTTCTGATGATACCGAGGACTTAACACTGAGGAAAGCACTGCTTATTGGGATTGGACCCTGCCAATCCATTCACTAGTTGAGAAAAGGCCCCAAAGGTGTGCCTTCAGACCAGCCTTACAGAGGCATTTTCTCAGCCATGGTGGTGCTCTCTTCTGCATAGGTCTAGCTTGTGCTGGGTTGACAGAAATTAGTCAGCACAGAAATTACAGCTACTTTCTAAAATACTGCTCAGGTATTCTGTCAGATAATGGCGCCATTTTCATAATTTTTTTGCTTCCATTTCTCTGTATCAGTTCTACTCACTTTTAAGTAGGGTTAGATCTTGCATTGTCATAACAAAGTACACAGAATGGGTAATGATGAAAATATGGTTTTGAGTCACAATTTTGGAGTCTTGAGCTAAAAATTCAAGCTGGTTCAGGCTTGGTTTCTTCAGAGACTATGACAGAATATCCTCACAATGTGGAGAGTTATCTTCTCCCAATTTCATGCACATCGCTTTTTCCTGTGATTTTGTGTTCAATTTTTTTTCTTTTTATAAGAATCTAATCCTATTTACACCCCACCATAACAAACATATTTTAACTTTATTGTTTTTTATAAATATTCTATCTGAAATGAGTTTACTTTGAATATATCAAAGGTTACAGTATCAATGTATAAATATATAGAAAGATAATCCAATCACAACAGCTTTCTAATCTATTTCTGAACTCATTATTCAATATAGTTTTTGATACATTTTCTATGTAGAAAATATCTATCTGTTTATATATCTATCTACCTATGCATCTATTCATTATCTCTTATGTATCATAAAAGAACCAAACATCTATCATTTCTTTATCTACTATTTATCAATTGATATTTTATCTACTATCTGCCTATTTATGTATCTACTACTTCTCTATCATAATCATCACCTATCAGCTATCAACCACTTATCAGTCTGTGAATAGT